CGCCTCTTAGGGGTGCTGGTAGGTGAGGTAGGTAGGAGTTTTCGTTACTGAGACGGTAGTCTCATTCCGTTACATCTACAATTTTCAGATAAGCGTAACAGAGGAGCCGCGGCGGGAAAGGAATCGGAAGTATGAGGTCACCTTCATTGGTGATCACACCCCGAACTCTGGTTATGTTTAGTCATTAGTTATTTACCACCTAAGATATCATTATGCATCTCTTTTTATATTATCAATGTTGAAACATTTATGATTATACATTTATGAGGATGTCTTCGAAATGAGTTAAACTTAATTTTGTTAGATTAATTGTGACAAACTGTGTCAATCAAGTATATGAAAGGCTTTTATAACCATGTTAGGAGTATAATCCTTTCCTAACATGGTTATGCATAATGAGTAAGTATAATCCTTTTATAACCATGATATGTTATATTGGTAACTGTGTCTCCCATTCTTTTATATCATGGTTATGACATAATAAGTAAGAAAATTTTGAAATAAAGTTTGTAACCTGTTTTCTTCTATTACCATGGTAATAGTGTTGACATTCCTATATTGTATTAAATATGACAAGTTTCTAGATAGGGTGTTACAAGATGCTAGTATCGTACTCCTTCAACCATCATCATTTTGCAAACCTTGTTCATTTGGATGGATTTTGCTTGTGGGCAAGTTGGTTTGTAGTAAGAGGGGGTGAATGTGCGGCATTACGTAAGTGAACAGAGGTTGATGGTGGGGTTTGGGTTCTCAACTTGTTTAGCTTTTGCATGCTCAAATGGGGATGATTTTATTGGTTAAGAGGGTTTAGATGAAAAATTTGATGGGGATGAGAGAATGTTGTATTGGAAATGGAAAAATAGTGGCAAGTGATTATGTGGCCATGAAGTTTGAGGGCAAACAGTAAACATGAGGTGGTTAGTGTTATTAAAATCATTGGTTGAATTGTTAAATTTTATATTGAAATTGTCAATGGAGGAAGTGGGCGTGTGTTTTTCTGAGTGTTTCGAAAGGTGAATGAAATTGATTATTAGGAAAACAGAATATTGATTTATACTTCTTTGCTACATGTTAGTAAGTTTTAATGACATCTGTCACTGAAATTTCAAGAGAGTTATGTGTAAGTGAACCAAAATTCAAATTAAGTATAGCTAATATTTTATATTTTATATTTTAATCACTTAATTCTCTAATATAATATTTTTATATTTTAAAATTAAAGTAGGACTTCCAGGAATGATGTTGATGGGGTTGAGTCCCTTTTAGAATGTCACAAGGATGAGTTAATTACGTAAGAGCCCGTTTTGGTTTGAGGAAAATCTAGCCCAGGAAATAAAAAATCTAAATTTTCAAGTGGCGGGTAGTTTGGTTCAAAGAAGAAGTGGGAAAGAAATGGAACACGGACCCAGATTTTTCTTTAAAGAGCCGAAAATGGTTCCCACCAAAAGTGCTGGAAACAAATATTCAGTGGCCCACATCAATGGCCTTTTGACCCAATTGCCCTTGATGACAAGAATGATTCTCAACGATGCTAGTGATCGCCATGGTTTCCGATCTCTCAGGCATCGTCGTTAGTGGTGGTGAAGCAACCGGATGGGAGGGATTGGCAACATTAGTAACAGTCAAGTCCGGTAGAAAACTGCATTGGGTTCTGAAGAAGCCCTTGTCATCGGAAATAATGAAACCCCATCTCCTTTTTGTTGTCATTAGAAACTGTCATTGTTGACCATGGAATGGAGTTTCTGATGGGAGCGTGAAGTTTGTGAAAGCCATGAAATTGTTTTTGAAAGTGCGACGAAGACAATCCAGAAAGGAGCAAGCGTTGTAGTATGAGGTGGGGGGGGTGAGGGAGGTATTTATGAGAGCATATAAGAGATAGGTGAACGCATAACACTGGTATGAGAACTCGGGACATCTTCACATGTCCCTCGTTTATTTATACAGTGAGCCGATTTTTTGGCTAAAGGGGCACATCATATCCAAGAGAAAATGGTGGTGCTGTCACAACCTCCCGCTGATTGCTTGGCTCGATCGCAAGCTGATGTAGAGTAGTTTATGGGGTTTCTTGTATTTTAATCTTTCAAGCTCAGCTTGCCCATTTGGATTTCAAAAAAATATATTGATCTAAGAACGAGAGGCAAACAATGCCGTGTGTTGGAGGAATCTTTTGTTATTGTGGTTGAAATAACTATATACATATATAAATATATCAAGGATAAATTATATGTTCACAATTGTTGTAGATGTATACAATATGTCACCATTTTTTATTTGAAAATTTACTCTATTCAGTGCATAAAAAATAGAGTATAACTGAGTGTGGCAGAATTGACATTTTGTGCGAAAATTAATACATAGTGCTGGAAATTTGAATTTGATAGACTTTTTGCTGGAATTCTATAGGAAATTTGAATTTGCTGCATCAAATTTGAATTTGTTTAGTTTTTTCTTTATCATATTAAAGTTTAAATTTCAGGGGATATAACTTGAAAAATAAAAAGATTTTTTAATGGGTTTTGTCGTATTAGAAACTAGGCTTAGTAAGTTTTTCGGTGATACATCATCTACCTAATTTGCATTTAAATTAAGAAAGATATGTCCATTAAAAATTCACCTTTAAATTGAGTATTTTTTTTCATATCCCAATTCAGTTTCTTTTAATATTGATTATTTATATTTATTTATTTATTTATTTTGCTTAATTTTTAAATTCTTTATCATTTAATATGTATAGTAATTTTATATTTATATTAAATATCCATATTTATTTTTTATTTAAATAATAATTCATTGTATTTTTTAATAATATTATTATTATCTAAGTTTTAAAATAATTTTTTTATTTATATCATTTTTAATTTTTCCAAAGAAACATTTTATTATTTAATAATATCATATTCTTTCCTTAAAAGTAATATGGTAAAATAGCTCAATTTTTCCACCACTTTTCATTTAACCAAACATAAATTTTTTATTAAATTCATTTTCAATTTTAGTGTGAATCAAATACTTACTCAGTTGAAAATTTTTCATTCTCTTCCTTTTAATTTTTTTTTTCTATTCATTTTTATTCCAATCGATTCTTTAAACCAAATGGGACCCCAAAGTGCAGAGCTACAACTATTGGCAGGAACGAGGCTATTAATGTTAAAAGTTTAGGATTGGCACCACTTTTGTTAGGTTTTATTTCAAATTTTTTTTTCAATTTATAAATTTTAAAGGGAAAAAGACAGAAAAATAACAAGTAAACTTCATAATGTCAAAACATATTATCTGAATTTGAGAAATCCCAATTTAGTCACAAGTGACCAATTTGACATTTATAAATTTACTAAAATAATCATATTGCCCTTTATTTTATTTATTGTTTTTAAAAAACTAAAGCCCTTACTGGCTTACCAGTCACCGGAACTCTGGCATTGGCGGTGGCAGTCGGAAACAATTTTTTTTGAAAATTTTTACAACTTTAATATAACAGTTAACAACTTTTGTAATGCTATTGACAACTTTAGTATAGCAATTAACAATAGATTTTTTGAGAAATTAAACAATTCATCACCGGAGCTCTGGCAGCCAAAAATGAATTTTTTTAAAAAAATTTTACAACTTCAGTATAACGGTTAATCACTTTGTAACGCTATTAATAACTTCAATATAACAGTTAACAACATGTTTTTCAAAAAATTCAAAAAGTAGCATTTTTATAACTTTAGTAATGCCGTTAACAATTTCCGTAACTATATTAACAACTACGGTATAGCATTTAACAATAGGTTTTTTTAAAAATTCAAAAAAATGGCATTTTTACAACTTTAGCAACTTTTTTTTAAAAAAATTTTACAGCTTTAGTATACCGATTAACAACTTTTGTAACGTTATTAATAATTTTAGTATAACAGTTAACAACAAGTTTTCTGAAAAATTCAAAAAGTAGAATTTTTACAACTTCAATAGTGCTGTTAACAAGTTATGTAACTCTATTAAAAACTTTGGTATAGTATTTAACAACAGGTTTTCTTAAAAATTAAAAAAATAGCATTTTTATAACTCTAACAACTACTTTTTTTTTTGTGAAAATTTTTACAACTTCAGTATAACAGCTAACAATTTTTATAACATTATTAACAATTTCAGTATAGCAGTTAATAACAGGTTTTTTTGGAACATTCAAAAAGTAGCATTTTTACAACTTCAGTAATGCAATTAACAAAATTCAAAAACCTGTTATTAATTGCTATACTAAAGTTGTTAATAGCGTTACAAAAGTTAGTAACCGTTATACTGAAGTTGTAAAAAATTTTAAAAAAATTGTTTTCGACTGTTGCAGCTTCGGCAACCAGTTGTTGAATTTCCTGAAAAACCTGTTGTTAACTTCTATATTGAAGTTGTTAATAACGTTACAAAAATTGTTAATTGTTATAATGAAGTTGTAAAAATTTTAAAAAAAATTGTTTCTGGCCCCCTGAGTTTCGACGACCAATTGTCAGCCGGTCGCTCGAGCTATGATGACGGTCGCCACCACCAGCACTGGAGCTTCAGCGATTGGCCAGCGAATGAGGGCTTTGGTTTTTTAAAAACAATAAATAAAATGCAGGGCAATATAGTCATTTCAGTAAATTTATAAATGTCAAATTGGTCACCTCTGACAAAATTGGGATTTCTCAAATTCAGTTAATGTTTTTAACATTATGAAGTTTACTTGTCATTTTTCTGGTATTTTTCTAATTTTAAATTAAAAATTAATATACTAGTATCTAATGAAAATATATTTTATAAATTTTGAAAAAAAATTAAGAAAATGATTAATACACTATCTTAAAATTAAGAAAATAAAAATATATTTTATAAATTTTAAAAAAAATTAAATTAAACATAATATAAATTTAGTAAACTATACATGTGCTTTGGTCAATATATATAGTCAAAAAATGTATGTGTTTTGTTATGTAAATTTAAAAAGATTGGAGCTGCAGGCCTAAAATAAAAATGAACGAGGGCTCAACGCTGGCGGCATGGCGGGGGCGATGGCTTTGGGTTAAGCGCGTGTAGCCAGTGACTGACAGTGTCGACGGAGAAGAGGGAATCCTTCCCGGCTCATCAAGTTGAGAGGGAAAGGCTGGGAAAAATCCAGGATTTGGGAGTTCGCTGCAGCAACGTCGCCGTCGGCTGAGATTTGACGGAGAAGGGGATCGGCGCCGGCGTGCGAGCGGTAACAGAGATGACAGAAAAGTAGTGTTTTAGAGTGCGTTGGAGGGTGAACTTTCTCCTTCAAGGTTTGGATCCCACACATCTAAATCTCTCTTGTCGTCCAACTTAACGATTCCTTTATAATTTGCTGATGTCCAGCTGTGCAAATATGTTATGCTCCTTTGCAAATAATTTTTCCATCTATGAAAATGCTGAGAATATTGAAGTTCCTTTTATCCTTCAAAGAAAATATTTGAAGTTCAATATATGCAAATACAATTTTCAATCTGTTCCACGTCTTCTTTATCAATTTATGAATTTGCCTCCTTATCAATCTGTTCTGCATTTTCATGAGTTGTTTTGTAAATGTGTCTCCCTCTCCCTTCCTGGACCCGCCCAGCTGTGACCCTCACTCCTGGCGAGAAGCATCTCTCCTCCGTTTGAAGGAAGCCTTCTTCTCTAGCTGCAGCACTGTTCTCTACCTTTCTGACTAAACGAACCCAATTTTCATTTTTTTTTTTTGGTTGGGGGCCGGGGGGCCCTAATTTTCTCCTTTCTGTAATCAATAGTGATTTAAATCCTGGAACAGTAGTAGCTATGCTGGATTTGATCACAAGTGATTCTGTAAGCATGGTCCCTGAATTGAAGCTTCCAATTCATTTTGATATTCTGTTTTGGTAGATTTTGAGGGCGACTTTTGTGATGTAGAGGTTGTGTCTGTGCAGTGGTAGCATATTCAATCTGCTGTGCAAACATACCTGAATACATTGCATTTTCTTTGCATAATTACCATAGTAATACTATACTGTCTGACATGTTATCATCTTGAATTTCCACATAATTTAGATTTTCAGTTACAAAATATTATTAGCTTCATGTCTTCTGTAGCGGCAGGCTATGTTTGGACAGGTTCTTTATGGTAAGGAGTAAGGTGACATTCCTCAGAGATTGGCTTTTTAAATCAAAATGGAAGCTTCCCTGGATGATGGAAATAGGATTGTGCTTACTTATGGGGATGCTGGCATGAGTGCACATGAAGTTCACATAAACCAAGAACCTTATGAAGGCATGTCCTTTGAATCAGAAAAAGCTGCAAGAGAATTCTACGATAACTATGCCTCACGGGAAGGATTCACAACTCGTGTTCTTTCATCACGAAAGTCTGAGCAAGATGGTTCAATCATCTCTCGTGGACTTGGATGTAGAGGTGTTGGTCGAATAAAAACTGCAATTGAGAAGCAAGATCGACAAAATGTCTGTACAGCAATGATTCTGTTGAAGAGAGAAAAGGATGGGGAATGGGTCATCCGTAAATTTGTTAAGGACCATAATCATCCTGTGATGGTTGACTCTGAGAAAACTCCCCGAACACTTGTAAGATTGTCCTAGAAAATTGTCTAGTGTTTGAATTTTCTATAGGATTTTTTTCTCTCTGCTTTTGTGGTCTTTCATATGCATGCCACTCTGGAGGTGCCATGTGAGCTGGTGGAAAAATTAATTGTAGGATTTATTGATTCTTTTGTGCATGTTTCTATGTACTTGATTTTGTAGGATGAGAAGGATAAGAAAATTCAAGAATTGACTGCTGAAGTGCGGGTTAAGAAGCGATTGAGCGCATCATACCGGGAGCAGCTAGAAGCATTGTTAAAGGATATTGAAGGCCACGGTGAACATATTTCCAAGAAAATCCATTCAGTTAATGAAACTCTTAGAAAACTCGATGCTGAGATGGGAAAACATCCAAAAATGGATAAATGAATCGTGAGTTTTCCCCCCTCATCTTAATGAACTGTGTGAGTTGCTACCTACACATGTGGCAGTCCTGCCTGTTTGACCAATACTATTTCGGTGATAGAAGTATTGAAGTTTGTCCCATATCATGTCAATCCCTGTTTCTATCTTGGGTTCTAGTACTGTATTATTGGTTTTTCATAGGAATAATGAGCATCTTATTCCTGGCTTGCTGTCTATATTGTGTTCTAGTACTGTTTTATCGGTTTCCTTTTTGCACCATCACATCACTTTCCATTCTAAGTTTTGGCTTTTACACTTGGCTGGCTAAAACCAAGGAATGTTTCTATATCTTTAAACTTTTTGATGAATATAGCCTTCATGGTGCCCCTATTTGTTTTCATAATATAGTTCAATTATTTGATAATATTCATATGCAGGACAAAGCACAGCTCAGACAGGTGGAAACCAATCTGTATACATGCATTGCTTATCTGATTTAACCTGGCTCAAGATGGATCTTTGATCTCCATAAAACTGAGATTGGGTTTAAGAGATAGGAAGATACTTTTGAGTCTGTATATTATGTCTGAGATATTTGGAATTGGTCTCAGTAGGCACTTTTTTGTTGGTGGCACAAAGCAAATATGGATCTTTTTTTTGAAGATTAGTTTGGGATAAGAATGTGATTGTTGCAGAATGCTGCACTCAAGGGCAGAAAGTTGATGAGACTAATCTTACAAATTCAAAAAGAATGATGCCCAAATTTGTAATGTAAAAGGAAAGATGCAATGCATCAAGAGAATCAATTATTGTTGTTAAATTTTAGTATTTAAGAAGTTCAGGAATTGTTTGTAATATGTGGTTTAAGAGTTTGATGCTATCTTTTTGGTACATTGGGAAATTGTTTAGAGATATAAATTCAGAACCTTACCAATTCCCTGCTTATACATAGAGTAATTAGCTAAGAATTTGCATATGAGAGTAAAATTTCTATGATTTGGGCCAAACGAATTAAAATTTACATCCTGGTTATGATTTTTGTTACTAAAATCATTGTTTTATTTTTTTTGGGACCACTAAAGCATCATTGATTTACCCTATCTTTGTTATGAGGGGAATGGAGGGGAGAGAAGAAAAATTTTTAATAAGCTTAATTGAAAAAATTGAAGAAGTGAAATTTTAAAATTTTAATAAAGACAAGATGTAAAATAAAAAAGTAATAAAAATTAATTAAAAATTTGTAATCCTATTTTTTAAATTTTGTAAATTGAGTTTATTAAAATTTTTTTCCTCATTTTCATTTCTCTCTTGTCAAACGGACCATTCGAGAGACAAAAAATTTTCTGAAATTATATGAATCCATCTCTCTTTAATTTTGCTAAAATTACATGGATTCTTGCTCTATTTTCATTCTTCAAAACTCACACATGCCTCCCTTCAAACAAAAAGTAGATTACATAAGTCATCAATTTCGTTAAAACTGCATATACATCCTTTCTAATATACACGCATCCACGCACAGAATCTCTACATCATAAGGTTCATGTGATTTCCAAAAAAGGAAAAAGGAGAAGAAAAAGAATGTCATCTAATTTTTGCTTTCAGTTGTCAAGTAGGCTTGTTTTTGAATTATCACAGGCCTCTTAAGTTTATGAATAACTTAATTGCATTATTATTTAAACAACCATTCCAGTAAGTACAATCGCTTGAACCTTGATTCCTTGCCAAATGAGTAATATCTCTATTCAAGAACGCATGACATGCACGTTAATGATTCTAGTGGCTAAGAAATTGAACAACAAATAATAAATATCAAAACAAGCTAATCGTCAAGACGGAAGAACTTCATGGGAAGATTTAGGATCATGCACAGTTCTTCCGTAACTTTGAAATGTTTTTGAAGTAACTAAAATAATGCCCTTATAAGGTTGAGGTCAGTTGTTACGGGTTAGTAGTCTTTGATGACGAAGTGGCATACATCAAGAAAATAAATAATCACCAACTCTACTCTTGAAATCTTGTAATACCTACTACGATAAAAAATAAGTCGGGCATAATATTATGAGATTAGAGTATATTCAATTAAGAAGATATGAATAATATTTAATTGAAGTTTGGATATATTGAATTAAATAGGAAGTATTATAATTAAATAGGATTTCAATTAGAGGATCAAATGAAAAATTTATTAATTAATTTTGAATTTAAATAATATCTTAATTAGGATTTGAATATATTAAATTAAATGGGGAGCATCATTATTAAATGAGATTTTAATTGGAGGCTCAAATGAAGAAATTAATCATTAAGTTTGAGTTTAAATAGTATGTTAATTGGGATTTGAATACATTGAATTAAATAGAGAGCACCATGATTGAATAAGATTTTAATTAGAGACTTAAATGAAGAAATAAATAATTTTGAATTTTTATCTGTCACTCCAAATTCCACATCTCTAATTCAAATTCCATTTGAAGGAATTAAAAAAATCATACTCTTATAAATAACTTTTTCATTGATGCTATTTTTTCACTCTTCACTCAATTAATTTTTTTTTTTTTCATCCAGCATGATGAATCCAAGGTATTTATCGTTGTCTATTAATTTTTTGTTTTGTTTCATTGTCATGCCTTTTTATCATGCTATTTTTTTCACTCTTCACTCAATTAATTTTTTTTTTCATCCAGCATGATAAATCCAAGGTATTTATCGTTGTCTATTAATTTTTTGTTTTGTTTCATTGTCATGCCTTGTTATCATGTTAACTAACTGCAAATACTTTCCAATACCATGCTGGCAACGTCAAAACAAATGACGAACTTCCATCATGGTTTGGTCAAGGATTTTGATTCGCAAAGACACGTGGTGCTCAAATAGGTTAGTAGATCATAAAGTTGTTTTATTCATTGAAAGAAATATTTATGATATACCCATTTCATCTTATTCTATACAATCAGGGTGATAAGATTGAAACTTCACTTACTCAAAAAAGATAGATGCAGAGACATGTCTACGATTTAGTAGAAGGCGAGGACTACCAGTTCAAGAACTTCAAAGTAGTGACTCATGATGACGACAACTACAAAATTTATAACCACCTTTGGAAGATTATGTTCCATGCGATTTTTCGTTTTATTCAATCCGTTCGACTTCTTTTTCTATTTTCATATTCGAAGATGCAACAGCAATGAAAGAAGGTTCTTTGTGATAAAGAATACATACTAGAGAGTTGGTAAAAATACTACAGAAGGTAATTGGTGTTAAATGGGCAGCCTAATTCAACAAGCTTGTACTAATCAAAAGAAAAAGGAGTCCACATGATCACACAGGCAAAATCTGGGATTACAATCTTAATAAGAGTGAATCTCATCAAAAGTTGATTTGATTCGTTATCTGTTATAATTATACAGTCCATGTTAAGTAATTCTTAAGCTACCTAAAATAATCAAATCTGTTAGAATTTCAAATCTAATTCTTAAGCTACCTAAAATAATAAAATCTGTTAGAATTTCAAATCTAATTAAATACGCTAATCTTTGAGAAACTTCTAATGTCATCATTACGTCTAAAGAAATCAACGTCCAGAAGCTCCATGATTCTTAATAATCTTAATCAATATTAATCAATAATGACAAGTGTAAGTGTTCATGCTCCTACTTTGAACGATTTAAATGTAAAATTTTTAATATATAGCATTTTAAATAAGAAATTTTTTGTTTTCAAAAAAAAAGATCATGATATGATGTTCTATATTTTGTATGAAATTTAACCTTGAAGGAAATTTTAGGGTTACCCATGCTAAGATAGATAATTGATTCATGAACTTTTCTTTTTTCGCAAACAATTGATCCATGAATCGCATTTACCAAGTCTCAAGATGTACAAGTATGTCCGGTCAAAAAAAAAAAAAAAGATGTACAAGTATGACTTTGGCCCAAAAAAGAAACGATGTATGAGCATGACGAAACAATGAATTTGGCACCCCAGCAACTTTCAACGCAGCAATCATTCTTGATTTAAGAGGTGTTTAAGTAGAAACACCATGGTCTTATTAAAAATACTTTGAAAGAATTTGTCTTGTTTTACGAAAAAATACTTTTTTAAAACATTGTCAACACCCCCTAAAACCTTAAATAGGCTATATTCATTTTTTGGGGTTAAAAATGACAAAACAATGATAACCAGTAAGATGCAGAAATACATGGTACATAGAATAATGATAAGGAAAAATGACCCAAAACAAAAAGTTAAAAATTACTAAATACCAAATAAAAAATGTCAATAAAAATTTATTTTCATTTATAAATTCAGTATTATCAACACTAAATAAAATATTATTACCCAACCTGATTTGAGATTTAATAATTTTCAACTTCTTTTGGGTCTAAAGATAATGATTATCAGTTAACCCGAAGCCAACAAAACCCAAAGGGTAGAAATACACACGGCCAATAACATGGATATCTGAAATACATATGGAAATAAACATTTTTTGGTTTGAGAATTGGTATCAAGAAAAGAATTAGTCCTAATCTCAGTCACGGGGCATATTTTTGCATCATTCTGGGTCATTTTCTAGGAGTTGAAAAATCCCCGGTACTAAATGATACACAAGATATGAACTCCGTTCAAATGACAGTAGAATATAAACTCAAATATTTTGATACCTTTTATATGTCAACAATCATAGAACTAGAAAACAGACAACTCAGTTCCTCTACCACAGATCAAATTCCAAAAATTTAAACTACAACAGGGAAAGATGCAGAACAAAAATGTAAAGTTTTAGACAGATCAAGCATCGGCAATCGTGACCTCAACCTCCACACCGGGTTCAATAGTGATGGAAGTGATCTGCTTAACCACATCGGGGGAGCTGTAGAGGTCAATCACTCTTTTGTGCACCCTGAGCTCAAAGCGATCCCAGGTGTTGGTGCCTGAATCAAGAAGCAGATCACTAAGCACAAGGAATATGCAACAAGGTTTCCTACTTTAAATCTCGGCATTATGAACAAAAACAGATTATCAATTACACTAATGCTTCTTTCAAAAGGACCTAATTAGAAGAAGCAAACAAAAAGACCACATAGACCAGACTAGAACAAATAAACACCAACTAGAAACCACAAGACTTATAATCCAACCAAATTTCAATTTATCCCTATGAAAGTTACATAAAATTAATAAATTTTATAGCTTCAAAGAAAATGCTAAACATCCAGAAGGCCTTAGTAAGACAAGGGCCTGATGCCTATTCTACCTAATGGCCTCATAATTTAAGAACAAACTATCTCCATTCAGCAATGCCAGATGAAAGCAATTGGGGAAAAAACATATCTAAAAGATGAAATTTAGAAACTCCATACCAGCAATAATCGTGCAGTTGCTAAGTCAATAAATATGTCCAACATTTCTTAAAAGGAAATGGAACAAAGAAGCAAGAAATAACTCCAACAGAGCAGTTAACCAAGCCACATTAAACTTCATGTGCAATGCGTATAAGAACCAGTTTTATTAAGATTACCTTCACCACATGGAGATTTCCTAGTGGTGATGTGAAGAACTTTAGTGGGCATCCTCACAGGTCCCTTGACCCTAAGCCTCTTGTCCTTGGCACCACGAACTAAGTCCGCGCAAACTGTGAACAGGTTGAAAAAGCTTTCATCATCAACACAATCAGGGAACAGTCTGATTAACTAAAATTAACACTAAATCAAACTAATTAAAGAAACATTATCAAAGTTAACTTAGAATTATAAGTCATCAGTTCAAAGCTAACACTTCCTAAGATTTATCTGTAGGCACATCATCCATGATAAACGAATAATTAAAAGTATATAACACTTCGATTTTCAACCGAAGCAATAACGTATCACAATAAGCAAAAACTTGGGGGGGGGGGGGAACCTTTCTCAAGATTTTTCACGTGCTTGGAGGACAGAGTAATCCTAATCTTGTGAATCTGCTCTTGGGGTTCCTCCAAACCCGGTTTGGTAGGCTTCATCCCGTACGCCATTGTCACACTCTCTCCACCTTCTCTTTAGCTTCTCCTCTGCACAAAAATACGATAAACTACTCAGAAAAATTAAGAAATTACGAAATAAAACCAATAATATAGAACAGAATCAATAAGGAGAGAAAAGAGCAGTAGGGAAGACTCACGGCGGCACAGAAGAGCAATGAGAGACACGGCAGCAGCGGGAAGATGAAAGAAAACCCGAGCTAGGTTGAGTTAATTTATATTGGGCGAGTTAGGGTTTTAGTTCAATGGGCCACAAATGGGTTAACGAGGGAGACAAAGTGGTAAGTGGGCCACTAAGGCTAGACCCAATTACACTAGACACGATTTGATTTAATTTTTTTAAAAAAAAATATTAAATGCGCCATTAATAGGTCATCAAAGAGCATGATCTCTCTACTTTTTTACTCATAAACATAAGACCTATTTCTTATATTTATTAATTTTTTTAAAAATTATTCTTCTTGATATTCCCTCAACTATAATCAAGTAGGAGATTGAATGAAGATATTAAAAAAGATGATTGGTGTTTTAAAAAAAACATATCATATTTCTTATAAATACTGACTTAACTAAATTTTTTAATCTAATCAAATTAGTTAAATAGGTCTTATATTAAATACCGGAAGAGTATCATTTTAAGCAACTTTAGATTTAATATTTTCTTCCCGGTGTATCCCAAAAAAAAATTTAGATTTAATATTTTAGATCAATATGTTTATAATATAATGTTAAGAATAAATTAAATAATAAAAACATACTCCCTCCGTCTCTTATTATAAGATCTAATTTTTTGAATAGATTTTTTCCTTCTTATAAGATCATCTTTAAGTTTGTCTGAGCATTTAATTTAGTATTACCTATTTTACCCTTAATTTAATATATTTAATACATTCTCTTTTTTTTATTTATCTCACTATTACTCTCTCACATTTATTCATTTATATATAGGGGTATATTTGGAAAAAAGACTGCATTTGCTACATATTAATTGCTTTTAACTAATTTTAATTGTTTTCTTAAACCTCACAATTTAGTTAAAAAGATCTTATAATAGGGGACGGAGTAGTATATAACTAATGAAAAAGATTATTCAGTTTTATCAAAATTGAATTTTAGTTTTGAAATCGAAACAATTTTAGTTGAAAATAAAAATGATATAATTTTTGTAAAACTCAATAACTTATAAAATTAGAGATAATTAATATGTAAGTTCCTATACTTTTAATCAATTTTTAATTAGGTCTCTATAAATTTTCTCAAGTCCTAATATTTTTATTTTTATCCCTCCCTCCAACTCGCAAATCCTAAATGAAGAGGATTTACAAGTTAGAGTGAGAGATGCACGAGACTGAGGGGGGAAGACAATCTAGTGTGCTAGGGATTACTGCAAGATGAATTATCTAAATGCCTTTTAGTCTAATCATAAGCTTTTTTTAAAGCCAAAATAAACAAATAAAAAAAATAAGAAATAGATGTTATCTGTCACATAATTTTTAATAGTATGATATGGCACCCATTCGGATGGACTTAACAGTGATTTTAATATTAGGAGGACGTCAAATGTCAAAATATGAAAATTGAGAGTTTACTTTTTAAACTTTTAAAGGTGAGGAGGTTAGTGTTACATGCACTGGAGCAAAAATAAAGTGGGGTTATGAATATTTTGATCTTCTTTATTCTATAAGTTCTAATACTATTCTTGCTGGTCAAGAAAAAAAAAAGTTCTAATACTATTCTTTTGTAATAATTTTATTTTAAATTTTTGGATTAAGCGTATACTATATTTATTTTTATAATTATAAAATTCGAATCATAATAATAAAATTTTCTAAAATCATAATATAATTAAATTTCAGTTAATTATTCAAATTAATAATTAATATTTTTTATGATTATATAAGAAATCAAATTAAATTTATTAATAATATTTTATATTTCAATATTATTTATTTAATTAATTTAATTTCAATCAAAAAATAAAATTTAAAACTACAAGCACTTAATTAAAATTTAAGTAAAACTATAAGGATCAAACAAAAAGATAAAAAATTAGGGTGCCGCATTATTAGAAACTTTCTCCTATTAAGGCTCCATATTGTTAGTAGTAGCTTCACCTAAGAGGGGGGTGAATTGGGTGAGGTATAAAAATTTTAGTGTAATAAAACAGTGAAGCAGGCAAAATAGGGAAGATTAAGTTAGGAAGATTTCACCATAGAACGGGGACACATGATTTATACTGGTTTGGTCTCAACCACTTGACTTACGTCCAGTCCTCAGAACACCTATGAGATTTCATTATGTTTCCAAGATTAAACGGGCTCTTGGTGCCTCAGTACAATAATTGATTTTCTCAATCACTCTCCCTTACTACCCGTAAGGCTACAGTCCTTTTAAGAGTCCACACTCTTGAGTTACTCTCAGAAAATGAGTAAAGAATGGTATATCAAACTCTCTTATAGAGTAAATGAATATTAAAAACTGAGGCTCGGTAAAATCAGAATATTGAATGCAACAGTAAATTTCTCGACAGATGGTAGCTTGCTTATTCAATACTTCATTCAATGCCCTTCGTGCTTTTTATAGTTGAAAAAGTTTAATTATCCGTTAGACTGAAGAGCTTTTAGCTGTTGGAAGATCACTTGCATGTGTTCGATAGTTACAACGGCAGTTCGCTATTAATGCTTCTGACACGGTAGGTTAAAGGCTACTGAATAATCGTTGAGCTTCGTAATCTGTAACAACCTCTAAAATAAGTAAGTCCTCTTTCTGAAGGAAATTTGTGAGGGTATCAGAACAAGTGATGATCATTGATATTTATATAACAGTTAGGAAAGCAATGAATCAATCATCAGGTAGTTCAAAAACAAACTGAACTTACTTGATCGATGTCTTGATTGATAAATAGTTGATCAATCAAGTTATCGATTAAATATAATAAAGAAGATTGAAACAAATAAGTATATTTATCAAGTAGATTATGAATAAACAGATAATCGAACATGTGATCAATAAACAGTGAGACATGAATACAGTGATTTCTGAATAGGTTATGCAAGAATAAAATCTTAAAGTTATGTTTGCCTTCGAATCCTTTCAATAAAGAGTTAAGACTAAAAGGAAGGCTGAGAAAAGTTTGAAAATAAAGAGATAGAAGATTTTCAAAAGTCATCGTGTATAGTTGTTATGAAATGAACTGGTTCAATGATCAAACAAATGATTAATAACTGTTTGATCGATTATATTATCGATAAAGCTAAGTATAAGAAAAATATATTTTCAAAGTGTGTTGATTGAATACTTTATCGATAAATGGTTGATAGGAGAAATGATTAATAAATGTTTTCAAAAAGATTTTCATAGTAAAGTCACAGAATATATGATGATTGAGTAAATGATTGATTAATGATCAATCAATTAAGTGATCTATAAAAAGGTCATTGAAATCTCTTTTTAGAAAAGATCAGGAAAAACTTTGATCGATCATGTTATGTGAAAACAAAAGATGCAGATGTCTGGATGATCGATCATTTTATCGATAAATAAATGATCGATTAGGTGATCTGAAACTAGCTTAAAACAAATAAGTGTAGTGAAGGTAATGATGATCGATCATTTGATCGATAAATGATTGATTGATCAATTGATTGATTAAGGGTCTAGATAGATTACTTAGACAAAACAAATTATTGATAAACCAATAAGTTATCATGCAATGTTAGAACAGATTATCAATTAAAGTCTGATCGATAAGGTGATCGATAAATGGTGAATTCATCAGAATATAAAGTGAGTAGGAAGACTTTATCATTTATCTGTGTATTCATTGATGACTTGTTGATCGATCAGGTGATCGATAACTACTTACCAAAATTCTATGGCTTTTTCTAACAGTTGATCGAACACTAAATTATCAATCAATTGATCAATAATTTTCTGCAAGCTTGTACATTAAACATTGTTAACGATAATCAATGAATTGATTGATCAACTCATAGATTTAGAATTATCCATCATGTTATCGATTAACTTTAATACTAAGTTACTAACATACACAGACATATTATTTGATACTTGATCGATTAACTTACTAAATCAAAAGTAACTTAGTTTGTTATCATCAAAACCTTAAATCTAATACATATACGATCAGGTTAGCTCAAATGTAGAAGGGGAGGATGAAGGAAGAGGAAGGAACCTGAGAGTGTGATTAAACAAGAGAAGACTCTCCCACATTTCTTGACTTGTCATCTACCATATAATTTGCCAGCAAAGCTTTTCGAGGCAAACTCCAGTAATATGGTTGTTAAGATAGGGTGAAATTTATTCATTTTTAAAGATCATGAACTTTATTCATTTTTAAAACATTTGGGATAAAATTACATCACAAATTAGTTTAATATTGTAGATGCAATTGGAAAAATTTCAGGAGGTAGAATGCTACTTAACTCTTTTTTTCCTCACAATTTACGGATTTTATGCATCACAGATGACACGAGCTTTACAAGTGAAGGATATATTCATCTGAACAAAATTGATATAGAAAGTACGAAATTCAAATTTAAAAGTATAAAAGTTAATAAAAAATAAAAAGTGAAAATATTGTGAAAGAATAGATATAAATATAGAGCGCTCACTTATAAACAGAAGTCATACCCGCGTCTCTTTTTATAAGCAGTAATCACTAATGCATTGTCTCTAAATATAAGTAATATTTATAAATTGTTTTAAATTTTTATAGCAAATTTTCTATGTTGCTCTGATTAAAAATTTATTTTAATAGTTAATGTATTTATTTTTTTGTTTCTTGAAACACCATTTCCAAGATAATAAATATTTTGAAGATTATATTTTAGTAAATCTCTCTCTATCTCACATTCTCTCTATTTCATAGTTCTTTTTATTGTAATAATTTTCTTATTCTCTTTCTTACACTCTCTCCCTCATAAATAAAAGTATTTTAAAAAAATAACTTCTAATTTTTACATATTTATTGTCTTTAATTAATTTTAACTAACTTTTTAATCTCCATCTATATGATTTAGTTTAAAGTTGCTTATAAAAAAGATGGAGGTAGTAATGTTTATTGTACATGAGCAATGCGGACAGTGACGGAATTATATAGAGCAATTTCCCCGCACAAAGTTATATTTTTACTATATATAATGCTGTATATGATATGTTTAGGGGAAAATAACCACAAAATACCATATAAATTTCAAAAAGACAAAGAAGACATCCAAATAAGCAAAATGACAAAGAAGGCATTAGGTACCAATATGGAATTTTGATTTTTGACCTAAAGACCGAATTGTCCTTATTATGTTTGAAAACTGAAGAGATGGAGAAAGGTAGAAACCGCTTCCTCCTAGCGGAAACAATCCCCCCATTCAGTGAAAGAGAAACTGCCTCCACTGGGAGAAACTAATCCCTCCACTCAGCGAAACTGAATTCCCCCACTCGGCGAAACTAAATCTAAGTTGCTCTAGTCATTGAAAAAGGTTCTTTGATTTGCAAGGGGATTTGCATGTAAGGGGATTTGCAAACTGTTTTCAGGAAATGTAAAGCTACCTGATTTTCAAGTATTGTTAAATCATTTACCCAGAATGTTACTACACGTATAACGAGATTTATAACTCGCGAAGTGAATTTGACCACTTCTTCAAGGGGTTTGACAACCTGTTTTGAGGGACAGGGCAACTTTTCTCTACAAAAATATAATTCCACGCTGAATTTGACAAAACACATAGTGGGATTTACAATTTTTACAGTGAGTGTTACTACATTTTCAATGGGATTTGTAACCTTTTGTGAGAGGCTAGCTAACATTTCTGTAAAAAACAAAATAATTCCATGGTAAATTTTACAAAACACATGGTGGGAAAAACAACATTCACAGTGAGATTTACTACTTCTTTAATGGGTTTTGCAACCTTTTGTAAAAGGGTGGGCAACTTTTCTATAAAAAGCAAAACAATTCTATGCTGAATTTTACAAAACACATAGTGGGAATAACAACTTTCACGGTGATATTTACTACTTTTTCAATGGGTTTTGCAACTTTTTGTAAGGGACTGGGCAACGTTTCTGTAAAAAACAAAACAATATCACACTAAATTTTACAAAACACATATTGGGAATAACAACTTTCACAGTGAGATTTACTACTTCTTCAATGGGTTTTGCAACCTTTTGTGAGGGGCTAGGTAACTTTTCTACAAAAAACAATATAATTTCACGCTGAATTTTACAAAACACATAGTGATATTTATAATTTTCATAGTGAGAGTTACTACTTTGTGTAATGGAATGTACCATTTACGAAACAATATTTGCCAAAAATCAGCAGCCATATAACAGCAGATAATTACATATATTCAAATGACTACACCTGAAGTACATTAAAGTAAACATTGAACCATTAACTTTCATACTAACTACATATATAATGGAATGTACCATTCACGTAACAGTATTTACCAAAAACCAGTAGTCATATGACGGCAGATACATTACATATATTCAAATGACTGCATTTTACTCCTGCGACGGTTACCAATTTCACTGATAGCACTTTACTCCTGCGACGGCGGCAATGTGATTTCAGAGAACCTTTTTCGATGACTGGAGGAGCTTGGATTTAGTTTCGCCTAGTGGGAGGATTGGTTTCTCCGAGTGGGGGGGTTCAATTTCACTAGCTGAGTGGAGGGATTGGTTTCACTGAGTGGGGGATTCGGTTTTGCCAAGTGGGGGGATTTGGTTTCGCCAAGTGGGGGGATTGGTTTCGCCGAGTGCCGGGAGGAGGTGGTTTCTACCTTTCTCCATCTCCTCAGTTTTCAAACATAATAAGGGCAATTTAGTCTTTAGACCAAAAATCAAAATTTCATATTAGTACCTGATGCCTTCTTTGTAATTTTGCTTATTTGGATGCCTTCTTTGTCTTTTTGAAATTCATATGGTATTTTGTGGTCATTTTCCCTATGTTTTAATTGCCTTTTACGCTATGATATTAATTGTATATCAAACTCATACATGTTAATTAAAACTTCATATATCTATATATGTATATATATATATATTTTGCATTTTAGTCAATTATAACTATTTTTTATTGGTCGATTATTGATAATTTCTGTTCATAGTGACATTTCCCCCATCCAACTTCTTGGAGTTCTTCTTCTCTTCATGATGTAGAACGTTGAAAAGAAAAGTTGCAAGCATCCTCCCAGTAACTCGCCTTTAATTGAAGATGTTGTTGGTTGGTTGCTTTTCCGGTGGATACTTCTAACTACCTCGTTAAAATTAAGGAGATGTGTTTAAATCACTAACTTATAAAAAAAAAAAATCTAAATTTACTATTTTTTTATGCAAAAAATTCTTAATTTACTTATGTTTAATATTGTAAAAACATGAATTGAATCAGTGAAAATAGTTGACCCTTCATAACGTGCCAAAATAAGTTTTTGAGAGATGTGCCCTTATTTAGTACGACAATACCTCAAAGATGTGTAAAATAGGAGGAACCTGTAACTAATAAAAAAAGATTATGAATTACATATAAGAAGTTAATGAAATTACAATTAATAAGATTTTAAATATAGGGCAATCATGAAAGGATGTAATTAATACCTCATTTGGTGACTTCAGAAATATCTGTTTCTGTTAGATGTATTATAATAAGAGAGTATGTTCATCTCCAAATATTACTGTGGATTAATTATTTTCCAAAGAGCTATTAGCTAGCTTTCACCTGCATTAGCATTTTAAGGCGTGTTTGGCTGAACTGGGATAGAAAATTAAAGGCTTGTCTGTGAGTGGTTGGCTCCTTTCCTAGCTGCCAAACATGTCCGTGCAATCGGCAAATGGTGGATCATACGTTAAGATGATTTTTTTCATTATACATATGAAGTTTACGAATAACTAACTCATCATTTGGCTGATAAGCTTAAACTTATGAAGGGGTTACGTTGGTACAGTAGTACCATGAACATGTTCGATTCAATTCATTCCTTATTACAAATTGATGTTCATTGTTGCTTATTATGTGCTTATTATATCTTCATTTAAAATTTATAATAATATAAATATAAAAAATGTGTATAAATCTAATTTATTTTAATATATCTGATTTTGAAAAATTGAATACTCAAACTATGATATAAATCCGACGGGTAAATTCCAAGCCAAACCCATATTAGTCAATTATAACTTTGCCTTTTTATTAGCCTATTAGGAATTGTGTTAAAAGCGGCATTTTTTTTTCTCCTGCAACTTGTTGGTGGCTTCTTATTCACTTCATTATGTAGAATGTTGAATTTTCTTACTCATTTCGCTCATTATTTCTTTCCCTGTTTGAGCTTAAGCTCTCTACATTCTCTTGGGAATTTTCTCGAGCATCTCCTATGCAAAGTTAATGCCAATATGTGGGCTTGCGGGGAGAAAAAGGGAAAAAAAGGGGGGGGGGAAAAAAGTCGCATGAACTGCACTGAATTTAGTCTATTTCCTCGTATATTTTTCTTTAATAGTTTTTGGGTTATCACAGTTTGACAAATCGGCATCAAAAGCGTGGCACTGGCCCAAAAACCGTGTTACACAAAGACAAGTCTCTATCCAACGTAGGGGCCCTGACTCCCAATAATTCACTAAAGTCATCAAAAGATGTCGGCCACTTGCTGTTATATATGTGCATTTCGAAACACTATAGTGTTAAATTATTTTGGCCAAAGAGCTATATAGCTTTCCCTTAGCCTTAGCCGCACTTCTCTGTTTGCTATCAGCCCTTTCTCTTCCTCATCACTTTTTTCTTCCTACCATGGCTGGAGAACTTCTTGGTGGTACTGTTTTGTCTGCCTTCCTTCAAATGGCTTTGGATCGGTTGGTTTCTCGTGAAACTCTTCAGTACTTGCAAAAGAGAGGATTGAATGAGACTCTGGTGAAGAAGTTGAAGATCATGTTGTTATCCATCGATTGTGTAATTGATGATGCTGAGGATAAGCAATTCAATGATTCAAATGTGAAGGCTTTGCTTTTGGAGCTCAAAGATGTTGTGTATGATCCTGAGGATGTCTTGGATGACATTAACTATGCAGTCTACAAGCGCAAGTTGGAAGTTGAAACTAGTGTTACTAGTAAGGTACGAAAATTCTTCTGTGCTTTTGCTACCTCATTTGACCAGGCAATTGAATCAAGGGTGAAACAAGTCCTTGAAAACCTAGAATTTTTTGAGAGTAGAAAGATTGATCTGGGATTAAAACAAGATAAAGGTGGCGCTGTTAGGCTTGTCACAATGTTGCCAACAACTTCTTTGGTGGATGAAGTTGGAATATATGGCAAGAATGAAGGCAAAGAAATTATCACGAAACGATTGCTAAATGATGGCCAAGTTTCTGTGATCTCTATGGCGGGCATGGGTGGACTGGGAAAAACCAAACTGGCTCAACTTGTTTATATTGGTGAAAGGATCCAAAGTGAGCTAGACCTCAGAGCTTGGGCATGTGTTTCTAATGACTTTGATGTTGAGGTTAACAAAAATAATTTTCAAGAGAACCATGACATCTAATGATGATATAGAAGACTTAGATATACTTCAAAATAAGTTGAAGGATCATTTGTTTGAGAAGAAATTTCTTATTGTTCTTGATGATGTTTGGTGTGATGATTTTAAGTCATGGGAAGCTTTTCTAGCACCTGTCATTAGGGGGGGCTACAGAAAGCAAGATTCTTGTCACTTTATGCAATGAGACTGTTGCCTTAGTTGCTTGCTCCAATGAAATATATCATCCACATCAATTGTCAAATGAAGATGGTTGGTTGTTATTAACGAAATATGCATTTGATAATTATTGTCCTCAAACAAATTTTGATCATGAAGAAATTGGTAGAAGGATTGCTAAAAAGTGCAATGGTTTGTCTCTAGCCTTGAAATTAATTGGAAGTCTCTTGTATAGAAAATCATCTTGGGAGGAATGGAATAACATTTTGAGAAGTGAGGTATGGAACATTTCATATGATAATATTCTACCAGCTTTATTATTGAGCTATCATTATCTCCCTTCTTATCTTAAGTGATGCTTTGCTTAGTGTTCATTACTGATAAAAGATTATGAATTTGACAAGGAGCAATTAGTTCTATTGTGGATGGCTCAAGATTTCTTACAAGCCTTTCTATCAAGTAAGTCAATTGAAGAAGTAGGTAACAAATGCTTCAATGAGCTTGTGTCAAAGTTTTTTTTTTCTCCCCAGAAATCTTCTGTAAATGCAACATGTTTTGTTATGCATGACATTCTCAATGATTAGGCAAACTTTGTAGTTGGAGAGCTTTGTTTCAAGCAAGAGGCTAACAAGATAACATATTTTAGAAAAAATCACCACTTACCTTTTCAAAGGTATGAAGATTTAGAATTTAGATAGTTAGAGCATTTGAAAAACATTGGAAAATTGAGAACATTCTTGCATCTTAGTCCATTTTTGGATTGGACTTTGGGGGACCTAACATTTGATTAATTATATAAGTGCAAATGCTTGCGAGTCTTATTAAGGTGATACTTGATTCCATAAGAAATCTCAAACATCTATGGTATCTCGATCTATTTAGTTGTGAAATTAAGACACTTCTTAGGTCAATAGGTCTTCTATATAATCTACAAATACTGAAGTTGACCTATTGTTTCTATTTGGATGAGTTGCTTACCGGTTTGTATAAATTAAAAAATTTGTGTCATCTAGACTTACAAAACGCTAGTTTGAAAAAAATTCCACCAAATATGGGAGAGTTGAAAAATCTGTAAGTTCATTTGACATCATTTTATTTGGGCAAATATAGTGAGCTCAATATCAAACAATTAGGTGAACTCAATCTTCAAGGAGAACTTTTAATTAAAGAGTTGCGGAATGTAGTTTATCGGATGGATGCCTTAAAAGCCAACTTGAAAGAAAAAAGGTACCTTAAGGAGTTAAGCTTCCAATGGAATATAAACAAGGGTTAAGGTGCGCTCAACACCCCGAACTATTTTCCCAGGTGCACCCAGTGTCCTAAAGTAATTTTCGGTGCATCCAGTGTCCCAAACTAATTAAAACGGTGCATCCATATCCCGGACTAACAGAAAAGTTAAGTTTGACCGTTATTTGCTGACTCAGCAAAAGGTTGATTGACGTGGCGGACACGTAGGCATCTGATGTGTATAATTTTGACGGGCCAATGTGCGCCCAGCATCCCGAACTATTTTTTTAGGTGCGCCCAGCACCCCAAACTATTTTTCCAGGTGCGCCTAATGCCCTAAAGTAATTTTTTATGTATCCAGTGTCCCAAACTAATTAAAACGGTGTGTCCACATTCCAGGCTAACAGAAAAGTCTCGTTTGACCGTTACCTTACTGACTCAGCTGAAGATTGACTGAAAAATCCTACATGGCGAACACACAGGCATCTAATGTGTATTATTTTGACTGAAAATTCAATTTATTTCCTCCTCTTCTAACATTTATCTTCTGCCAGTTTTAAAACTTAAAAAAAAGAAAGACCACCGATCCACCCTCTTAAGTCTTGGTAGATGTACCACCCATTCAATCCCATCCTTGTCTTTAAGATTTTATCCCCTTTCTTCCACCACACACTTCCATCTCCGTCTCTATCAACTCCTCATTCGACTCGCGTTTGTTTTCCTCCTCCTAGAACACAGTGAACTTTTCCCTGGTCACTTCGTTGACATCGTCGTTGCCATCCGAAAAAACACCCGTTGCTACTAGGCTCGTCTTGGGAGCTTTAGTCAAAATAATACACATCAGACATCTGTGTGTCCGCCATGTAGGATTTTCTTGTCAATCTTCAGCTGAGTCAGTAAGGTAATGGTCAAACGAGACTTTTCTGTTAGCCTGGGATATGGACGTACTGTTTTAATTAGTTTAGGAGACTGGATACATAAAAAAATTACTTTAGGACACTGGGCGCACCTGGAAAAATAGTTCGGGGTGCTGGGCGCACCTAAAAAAATAGTTCGAGGTGCTGGGCGCACCTAAAAAAATAGTTCGGGGTGCTGGGCGCACCTTGGCCCGTCAAAATAATACACATCAGATGCCTACGTGTCCACCACGTCAGTCAACCTTCTGCTGAGTCAGCAAATAACGGTCAAACTCAACTTTTCTGTTAGTCCGGGATATGGATGCACCGTTTTAATTAGTTTGGGACACTGGATGCATCGAAAATTACTTTAGGACACTGGGTGCACCTGGAAAAATAGTTCGGGGTGCTGGGCGCACCTTAACCCTATAAACAATAATGATCCTCAAAATGAAAGGGATGTGCTGGAGAATCTCCAACCTCACCAAAACTTGAAGAAACTATCACTCAAGTACTATGGTAGTACGGGGTTTCCATATTGGTTTGCTGATAACACACTGGCCAACAAAGTGTCGCTCCCATTGTATGGATGCAAGTACTGTTTTTTTTTTTGGGGCCATTGTTGGGCCTTTTCCACCTCTCAAGTCACTTTTCATTGAAGGGTTGGACAGCATTGTGGCTATTGGTGCTGAATTTCTTGGAAGTAATTCTTATACTATTCCATTTGGATCCCTTAAAACCTTGAAGCCTGTGGGAATGGTAAATTGGGGGGAATGGAATTGTATGACTGCTTCAAGGGCCTTCCCATGCCTTAAAATACTTCATATGGGCAATTGTCCAAAGTTGAAGGAGAATTTGCCCAAACAACTTCCTTCTTTAGAAAATCTTCTTATTGAAGATTGCCCAAAACTTAGCGTTGTCCCGCAGGCTCCAAAAATTCATAGGTTGACTCTTCAAAACTACAAAAAAGTGTAGTTAGAACATGTTGAGATATGTGATTATCCAAATTTGGAGTTCCCATTTAAACAACATTATGACCCACTTCATGTGATATGGATAGAAAGAAGTTGTGGGTCTTTTAGGACCTTTATATTGGATCTATTCCCTACACTTCAAAGGTTAACTCTTAATGGGTGTAGTGATCCTGAAATGATTTCTGTTTTAGAAGGGCGCAACCATGTTTGGACAAGTCTTGAACATTTGGTAATTAATGGGTGCCCAAATTTTGTATCATTTTTAGAAGGGCCCTTTTCTCAGTTTCTGCCCCTAGACTCCAATATAATCATGTTACTTTGAACATTTGGAGAATTTGAAATCACTATCCATATGAACAATTTTGCCCCATCTCTTGGTATTCTATCAATAGTGAATTGTTCCCAAATGGAATCATTTCCAAAGGATGGTTTGCCATCACAACTAAAGAATCTTTATATTATCAATTGCCCAAAATTCTTTTGTTTGTCGAATGAAATGGGGTTTGAACAATTATGGCTTTCTACATTCATTGGAAGTTGAAAGTGACGATGTGGTGGAGTCTCTACTTGAACCAGGACTACTGCCAGCTTCTCTTACTTCTTGGATCACAAGATGTTCCAATCTCATAATGTTGAACTACAAGGCTCCTTGAAAATTGCCCTCCCTCAGAAGATTGACTCTTGTCGATTGTCCGAGACTCCAATGCTTGCCCAAGAAGGGCCCCCCTAATTCCCTTTCTATCCTTGAAATTGATGGGGATTGTCCTGTACTTAAAGAAAGGTACCAGAAACATAAAGGAGGAGACTTGGGAAAGATTGCTCACATCCCTCATGTTTATATTGACTTTGTTAGACAAACTTCAAGTTCCCCAATTATTGTATTTTCTAACTACCGCTCAGGTATCTTTTGCAATGAATCTTTTCCTATACACATATTCCTTTGTTTAATGCAATCATCAACAAAATCATACATTCCTGAGACAACGCATTAATTCTTGCACCAAAAGGAAAAAGTAAATGTCATGTTACATTGTTACTTCGTTTGGTTTTTCAAAAGTGATTTTTGCCATTGTATGTACTTCTCCATATTAATTTTTTCTGCAGTAATTTTCCACGTTTTTGTTTTTTGCTAATTAAAAGTTTTGCTTATCGCTATTATTAGTCTTTATTCACGTTTAAGGCTTCCTTTCCTCCTCGAATTCAGACATATGATCATATTTAAAACTTTTTTTTGGGCATGTGTTTGCCTGAGAACTAGAATTCCCTTGTAAAACTAAAACTTCTTCAACAATAGCATTTATATATTGAATATTATTAAAATTTTACTCTGATATAGTTTCTTGTCAGAGGAAAATAACAGATGAGCTCACTTTATCACAAGCGTTCCCAATATAAAAAAGCATTAGCAATAGTCACTGAAGATACTTTTTTTTTTCGTTTCTTTTTCTTTGCCTTGCAATGGAAAATTCTTTAGAGGTAAGCACACATCTTGGAAGGATTTGAAATGAATTATTAATGTGAATAAATTTTCATTTCTCAGAATGTCAAATATTTTTAAAATACTGATGGGTGTTACACTCATATTGCTTTATACTGATGGGTGTTTCACTCATTTATCAGACTTGACTAAGCTGAACAAGAAAAATTGTTAATTGAAGATACTATAACGGAATTGTTTGATGCATTCAAGTCCAAGATAGAGGTTCCCAGAGCGCAATCAATTACAAGAGCAGAGTTGAGCATCCTATCTGGTGAAAGGAGTGCGCAGCTAAATCATATAGTTGTTAAAATTGCCAAAGACCATTGGGTTGGCACAAAATGTAACCTTCGTGGCATGGCACGAGGTTTGAAAGTTTGATCCCCATTTCCGCTTTGTGCCTGCCATCAAAATTCAAATATATACACACACATTACCTCCGGTCCTAAATATAAGAGCTAATTGATTAATTTGAGTAGATTAAGAAAACAAGTTAAGTTAGTTAGTTGTAATAAATAGGTATTGTCTTTCCTAAAATATTCTTACTAATCAAGTTTATTGGCTAGAACTACTATTATTAAAAGGATTATCTTGAAAATAAATAAATAAATATAAGAGATAAAGTGAATTAGAATCTTATATTTAGGACCAAAATAAAAATCAAACGATGTCTTATATTAAAAATCGAAGGTAGTATATAGTTATTAAAATCCTCCAACTGTTTTAATATTTTGATTTACAAACTTGTGATTGCACATGTTCAAAAGTGAGACTTCTTTGTCCGCGTGTGTATACATTTGGACACATTTGTTGTCTTCCAAACATTTGATTAGTTGTCTTTTTCATATTTTTCTAAGATATAGTTAAGGGAACTTCATTAAAATAATCACGAGGATTTACGGTGATATATTATTCAGGCTTT